ACGTATTTAGTAAGATTCAGATCGAAAGTTTCTAATCTGACAAGGGTTGTGCATGAGAATCTTTCCATTCATTCATCCACAAGAATGAATGGAAAGATTCTTCTGTCCATACACACGTTAATATGACATGTGTGCAAAGTTACAGCAAGGCAATCTTAAACACGGATATTAGAACTGAAAACTGAAATTGTGTTGAGGTGATTCCAATACTTTTATCCGTGTAAAACTTTGGAGCGGTTTTTGAAAAAAACTATTTTTAAAATGTCTACATTTCATGCAGAATTACTCAAAAATATCGATATATAAGATATCGATATAAAAAGATATCGAGGGAGGCTGTACCCAATCAGTTTAAAATAGACGTAAATGCATTGCGAAAGCGAATTAAGATCTTATGAAAAATGGAAAGTCCGGGGTCCAGATGCCATTTCAATAGAATAATTAACTTCAGTGGAGAGGTAATATTACTCGTTGTATCTAAAGATTATTTCATGTTACGATCAACTTAAGGCGTTCCAACGATTTGAAAGTAGGCTACTATTGGTTCGATTTTTAAGAATGGTGAGCAGAACTGTTTTGCAAATTATAGACGGTTAAGTCTTAGCGTCAGTTTGTATGGTAAGCTAATGGAACATTTGTATACTAGCTATATTAGACAAGTATGGGAAGCAAAAAGATGGCTTATGTTCAGGGACAGCATGGTTTTAGGAATGGTTTCTCCTTTGGCTAGAGTCAGATAGGTATAATTCTTTCTGGATATAGGAGATGAAGTTGATGAATAATGGGAGGGTGGATGCATAATAATTAGATTTCGCGATAGGGCATTTGATGTTGTCCCACACGATAATAACTGTTCTATTAAGATGCACTCGGGTATTGACACTAGAGTTGTGACGTTGGTTGATGAGTTTTTCTTGAGTATGGAAACAGAGCAGTCGAGTTGGACAACATTTGCAACCCTGGAGAGTTACTTGCAGGGGATCGCTCAAGGAAGCGTTTTATTGGACCACTCTGTTTCTTCAGCGTTTGTATACGACTGCCAGGATCAATTTATGTTCTCAAGGTAAAGACTATTTTGCAGATGACTGTATAATATATCGGGAGTTATTCCATCACAAAGTAGACGAGGATATTTTGGCAGATGATCTAGATAGATTACATTTCTGGGCAGAAAAAATAGCATGACAATAATAGTGTCAAAGCAAAACATCCACGTTTTGTAAGGGGCGCATTAGTAGTTGACAGTCAATAACCGTTTAGGCAAGCGAAAAGATTAAGAGTCCTGGGTTGTAAGTACTGGGAATAATATTTGTATAGGCAAATTAAACTGGCGAAAATTCAGGTTAACTTTGGTTTCGTGGGAAGCCTGGAGGGCTTTGCATTTTAACAATTCGATACTAAAAAAGGAGTAGCTGCGAAAGCGAGAGAATTTAGGCTTACTATCTTTAGTTCGTCATTTAATAGAATACGGGCAATTTTGTTGCGGAAGCTTATAGAATTCACAAAGGAATATTTGAATAGAGTTCTGAGAGAGGCGTGGAAACTTATTTCGTAGAATAGGAAGAAAGTGGAATGGAGTCTCTAGAACTTCGGAGGGCTAAGGCAAGACTCTGTGCTAAGCGTATGCCGGTTATCAGCTTTGCAAAGATATTTTCATGTCGACTTCGATAGACCACTTACTTTAGTAAGAGTGGAATACAAGCACAAAATTCAGTTTTCAGGAACATAGAGAACCAGATGTTTGGAAAATTTTCATGTCACAAGTAGAACAATAACGGACTGGAATAAGTTACGCTGCGGCAAGCCATGGAACCCTTTCCTTAGGTGTACAAAGGTATCAAAAGTCGATTTAACTAAGGACATGGTAAATAAGTTGGCTTATTAAATAGTTAATTATTTTAGTTTATTTTATTATAATTGTTTTAAATTATTAGTATTGTGATAATACTATTAAATTCATTGGTTGGGTTTATATCAATTATATTTAAAGTGAGTAGTTGAATTGGACGTGTCGGTGAAGTGTTGTGAAGTGTAGTACAATAAAGGAAGTTTTCAAGTGCAAGTGTAGTGTAGCGAAGTGAAATGAAGTGTAGTGAAGTGAAGTGAAGTGGCATGTACTTTATTAGTTTTAAAAAATTCGGTGAGGGCTAGTCATAAAGTGTATAGGTAATGTGTTATTTTTTTGTTATTTGTTATTATTGCCTTAAAGGCTTAAAAATTAGCAGTGTATTACTATTCTTAGTTGTAATATGTAAATGTAGTGTTTCTGCCACCAGGTTCTATACCTACTTGCAGAAATAATAAATCTATCTATCTATCTATCTAAAAACTACTTATACTGGGGAAAAAATTATTTTTGATCTCATTTAAGCATTTTGTTAAGACAAAATCTCAATATTCATTTTCGTACATGCAGAAAGACGCCAAAAACATTTTGAACTTTTGTGATTTTCGGACATTAGAATAATTAAACAAAAATGGAACTTCATATAATCTTACTTTCATAAAAACGGCTATTCTAATAAACGTATTTTGCTGTATCTGAGATAAAATTTTTGAAACACTTGGAGCGATTTTTTAGAAACGTTTGAAAATGACGTTTAGGCCACATACTAAAGAATCTCAAAAATAAAATTATCAGTTTTAAATTCCACGGCCAGGACATCATCCAGATTGACTGAAAAATATGAATTTTGGTGAATACCCTGCCGCCAGCCTAGTCTCTAGCGTTATTCACAAGGAAACAGACGGGCGGACGTTTTACCTTAAACCGTTTTTTCGGTAACAAGGATCGAGAAAACGGAGCTTCTGACAATGCAGTGTGTTAGGGAAAGAAATTTAATGCGTATAGGAACAATAATTATTCACTTTTTCGCTACCAGGGAAGAACCGTACGCGTTTTTCTGTCAAAAATCCCCGTTTGCTACATCATTACATAGCCGAGAAAGTAATATCTAGATATTTTAACAAAAATCCTGTTAGAGTATCCCGTGCAAGTTTTCTATTCAAAAATCCTGTGCATGTGTAAGCGAGAAAGTAAAATTTGTACGAGTTAAAAAACCTTTAGACGCAAATTAATTAGATTACTCCTCTGAAATATGTATCTACAGATTCAGTATGAACATGTACATATTCACTGTAAGTCAGTTACATGTGATACAAGTTTGAACTGGTTAAAAAACTTGCAGTTTGATACCACAAATTTTACTTTTCCTCTCATGCGCATTTCCAAGACAATGGCTATCTTCGGTCTCTATAATTACCATAAAATCGTATTGATGCCAGCCAACACGAAATTTCTAGAACATTTTACTTCCAAATACATGATTTCTGGTAAATCAATACATCCTTCCAAAACTCACTTCCTTTATATTTATTTTGAAATCTTGTGCAAATCTTGTCCGACTTCTGCCTCTATTTGTTACTATGTTAAATGGTCAAAATTCTGGAGTTCATTTTGAGATCCTTAAAGATCGATTTTCTCCTTCACTCCATCATGAACAGGATCTTTCGCTCTTCTGTTCTGCTCCTGGTTGGTCGTCTCCCCTCACAGCTTTTGCACTTTCTCTGCTTGCTGGGCGATACCCCTTACATCATACCTCACTCAGGACTAACTCCCCCTCTGCCAGATGGACGGCTGTACCACTTTCAGAGCTTCCTAGTAGCAAGATATGGAACTAGGAATAGAAACATACTTATGAATGTTCACAATAAATACAAAAAGGTTTTGATGAAGAGCAGAACAAGATCAATGTTTGAGACAAAATGGACAAGACAACTACAAGTACGTCAACAAAAGAAAATCTCATTCACTTTATTGTCAGATTGCATGAAGCTTTTTTGGTTTTGAAAAATCAAGTATGCTAATGAAAATTATATCAACTTCTAAATTAAGATAAGATTCATCGACTGTTTCGCAATTAACTGGCAGATCTCGTATGAACGTTCATAAAATAGTTTAATAGTACAATTAGTAAGGTCGTATGTATTTGCAGTTAAGAGAACGTACATTCTGCCAACCAAGAAAGAATGATTCATAATAAAACGATTATAAACACCCACCTACTGCAACAGCTCATGACTTACCGCAATCTTAGTTATGAATCCAGTCTCGCTTTATTTATTATTGAACTGGTTATCTGTGATTCGAAAGTAATTTAATCAATAAATGCAAACATTGACACTGAAATCGATCAATAGTTCGTTTTCTTTGATGAATACATCACACTCTCAACAATAAATATGAGAGTGGTGACTAACAAACATGGAGGTTATCGTGTACCAGCTAAGTTCTATTTACCTCATGATGTGGTAATGTAAGTACTTTTGTATTTTGTAATCAAGGAAATGTGTATATCAGACAGTTTGAGAACTGAGCCGCGGAAACACACCACGCAAATTTCTTTGGAAAATGATTTTTAAAATACTAATAGAAGTTTTAACTTAAAATTATAGCTTAACTGCAAAGTCGTTTGTTGAATCAACATTGTGTTAATTACTATTGAATAACACCTCTGAAACGTAATTATAAAATGTACGTATGCAAAAAGTGATAATGAAATAAATTTGTTTGGGTATTTTCTGTAAAGTGATTGCAAATCATTAGCCAATTTGAGACATCAAACACGCACACAAACACGCACACAAACATTGCAAAACAATTTAAATACAATAGACATTGCAATACCAGTCATTCCAATATCATGATCAGCAAATATTATACAACTTGTTCCTTAAAAAAATTTCTGATAATCTGTTCTTACTTTCTGCCATTTTTCTGTAAAGTAGCTAGCTCAAAAAGTTCAATTCTAATAAGTTAAACGTTATGATTATGCTGTCAACAACACAACTTGGCGATCAATTACATACTTCATTAATGCAAACAAACGTATTCCTTCACAACATGAAGTAATTTTCACGTGCTAAATGTTTGTTCAACCTTTGAAACTGATATTCAGGACTCTCAAAATTATACATATTTTTATTTGATCTCTCTACAGAGTTTTAATGAAGACAGGATTAATATTTCTGTTATTCAAGGCAAAAGTCGACGCGAAATATCAATCGCCGCACAATAAACGTGATACATCTTAAAAATTCTAATTTTGCAGGAGAGCGCCGTTAATTACAACGAAACCGATTTCTTCCCGAAGACAATATGTTCTCTGAACTCTGGGTTCGGTTATTTTATTTCTTAAAAGTTTTCTAGAAATTAAAATATATTACCTTCTACATACATTTCTTCACTTAACTAAAAAATTATTTTTGAGATTTATCACTTATCTTGAACCGAACTAACATCTTCACATTTTGCGATATTCGGCCGAGAGCAACTCGGCCAGCGCGTGCACAGGGGGTGCCGCCAAAGGGTTGAAAACAGCTCCGCGTTTAAATATTCTTTAACGCTGTACCTTTAAAGCTCATGTGATGAGAGTGCGGCGGCGCCCGGGCGATGGCCTCCCTGAGTGGCCGGGCGTCGGCGGGGGCGGCGGGGCGGCGGCGTGGGCGGGTGCGCTTGACCCAGTGAAACCATTTTTGTTTTCGCGCGGGGAGAGGCGGTCGCGCGCGGCTTTGCAGAATCACGGCGCCACCCCCATCCCTACCCCTCCACCGCCGCCGCCGCCTCCCACTCTCAGTCACGTAAAAACGGGCCGGCGCGGCTGCGGCGGCGGCGGCGGTGGCGCGTGGAGAGGGAGGCGCCGCGTGGTGTCGGGCGGAGCGCGGGGGGGGGGGGCGGGCTTTCGCGCGCTGTGATTAACGAGTGTACGCCGGCCCGAGTTACTACGTCGACCGCTGGCTCTCTTAATGGACCGAAAAGTGGGCCTCTCCATCGCCACGCGCGGCCGCCGGGAAACGCGGCGGCGGTGGAGGTGGCGGCGACTGGTCGCGGCCGAGCGGGTAAGCAGCCTGTGGGGACGGAATGGGCAGATGCAGGACAAAATAGGACACGACGCTGTAAGGTGGGAAAGGGTGGAACGGACAGCGGGGCGAGGCGGCAAGGGACGGGATAGGTGTGGACGGGACGCTTCAGGGCGGGACAGGACGGAATAAGGGACGAGATGGGTCTGGGCGAGACGGGATGAAACAAATGAGACAACGTACTTAGGTGAGGGTGAGTTGAATGGAACAGAGCTGGTGATAGTGGTAATCTGTCAGGATGCCACGGACGCACGTTAAGACGCGGAAAGGAGGAAGGTCTGCCCTATGAAACTCTCCACCCCCAATCGGCGAAGGCTTTAGAAGTAGAGGTAGCCGGGCGAACGCATCCCTAGGTCAGGTTTCCCTCACATCCGTTAATTAATCTACGATGCCTTATTTTACGTGGCAAGGCTCAGGATATCAGATCTGCTTTTCCGCCTCACCATGCAAATTTCGCTAAGATTCTTTCTCGATCTAACGAAGAAAGAAGGTATCACGACGAAACAGGCGATTTGAATTCATCTCAAGGCTTCTTTTAGGATTGAGGATATTTTACATGCTGTGAATCTACAACATGAAATAGCCGAGGTGAACGAAGGATTTTACACCCTTGAAATTCCACGGCTTTGATCGGCTTTGATCGAATAGCGAGGTGAACGAAGGATTTTTCACCCTTGAAATTCCATGGCTTTAGTAGGGTTTTAAACCGCCACCTTGGGAATAACAATCTGATACGCTAACCGTTATGCCATCAAATCCGCAAACGGCACACTCGCTTCCTAGTTAATCCACTTTCACTTTTGACTACCTAAGAAGGCGTAGCCCAGTTGTAACTAAGCCGGTGCTTTGGGAGGGTGAGTAAGGTAAGAAACAATTTGGTTAACTTTCCATTCACAAAAAACGCAATATTTTTGCACTAGTCGATAAAAAATCGAACACAGGGGAACCTAGCAGAATCCTCGGAACTGTGCATCTAATCTGACTAAAATATATTTTAATATTCATATACTAAGGGACGTCCGTGGCCCCGTTGTCCTTCCACATTGGAGCCGCCCACGTTTACGTAGAAATTAGTTTCAATTAATTAAGAATATTCAACACAGTTCAATTCCAAAAATAACATGGTTTCCTTACTCTATCCGACCATCACAATACATGAGTAATACAAAATGAAAAATGCTAAAGGATCATTTGTTAGCCAAACTAACAAATTCAAAGCAGTAAGCAGACATTACAGTATACCGGTTTCTTCTATGCTTCTACTTGCGCGGGATACAATGGAACTACACATTTTGGGGGCGGCAGGCAAAAAGCTTACAAAACGCTGCCGGCATGCAATGGGATTCCGTCCAAAAGTAGAAATGAGCTTAACCTGGTGCGGCAATTTTGAGGAAGTACAAATATGCACAATTTTGAAAGTGGAGATGGTATCCTATGTATTTTTTTATTTGAATGGAATTTCATATCCGACTTATGAATTGCGCGAAGCAAATCGAAGGCGTTATTAGAGAAAAAATAATGCTCTATGGTTTGTCGAGTCTTATCCCAGTTGAGTTCAGAAGTTATATTAATAATATTGTGGCACAATATAACTTAAAAAATGTCAAGGAAACAAGTTATTTCATTGTAACTAAATCATATGTTGATAATAATTTAATGTTTCACCTACAGAATGTTTGTGATCTCCAAATTTCATAACTATTTAAAATTTAAATAAAGTACATTGAAACATTAATTTTATAATGGATAACACACAAAAATTAGCAACACTAAATATGTTTACAGGAGAACAACAGAATAAAATTGTAAACATAATCTTCTGTTAAAATGCATTTAGTTTAGTTTCAATTTCTTTGTGGGTTTTCACTTCTTTTTAAAATAGCAAATTTCGTGTTTTTAAGTACATTTCTAGTATAAATTTCTCTTCATCAATAACTGCATTCTTAAACACGAAGGGGTAAGAAGTTGGGTAAACAAGTGATGAAAATTACAGATTTTTTCTGTAGTGAAGAGCGGGAGAAACTGTTATGTATTCGTAAGAAACGAATACTTTCCGAACTTATTCCAGTTGGAGAGATGCATATTGACGAGAAATGCCAAGTTCCATGCCCAGTTTTAACAGAGCTCAGAGTTACAATATTAGTTCCCTAGTAATAATTATGTGCAGTGATTGGAAAATGCATACATTAGTTGTTGTTTTTGTCAATTTTTTTATTATTTCAAAGAATAATTCTGAAGTTAAACTTCCCTTAAAAACGTAAAAATCATCAGAACATATTAGACATTAAGTTTCATCCCTTTTCAAAAAGTTTGCATAAGCATTATCCATAGAACAACATGCATTTCTGCATTTAAATTCCCAACATTTTTTACTTCCTCTAAATTAAATTTTTACTCTAAACTTTTTATTAGGAAAAATAAATCTCACGAAACTGTATTAACACGAAATTATCTATGAGAATGCAAAATATTATTTTTTTGAAAATGAATATAATGACGAATATGAATATTAAGGAAAGTAGCATTTGTGTACGAATAGCGAATATTATATCAGTAGAATTCTAAGGTCTGTATAATTGTTAATATACTCAAATTTGCCATTTTGACTGATTACTTGGCTGATTACTTGTCTCAGTAAAGAACCGACGTGGCCCTTTAGCGTGCTCGCTTTCCACGGCGCAACCCGCGTTCGATTCCCGGTCAGTGCAAAAATTAACTGTGCGTTTTATTGCAATGTCCCAGTATCGGTTGCTGTGTGACGATGAGAAAGTTCACTTCTCAGGTTGAGAAGACCAGGATATGACGTAGGCTATGTGCTAACTACACGTACATCTTAACCCATGGCCGGGTCGCCGCTGGTAGACCTTAGCTAGTAAAAAGCTGTTGCGCCAAATTACTTGTCTCAGTAAGATGTGAAGCAAGAATAGATCCCATACAGGTTTTATTGAACTTATTACGTGAATTTCGAGCTCCAACAACAGTAGTTCTGAGGTCAGAAATCTTAACATATGCCTGGAAAGGTGTGGAGATGAGATATAATTTTGATGGTGATGATTATGATGATGATCATGCGAGTAACGAGCATGACGTTGTAGAAGAAGAAGAAGTTGGTGGAACGAGAGGGAGAGGAAACCGGAGAAGCCCGAGGAGGTCGCTCTTCCCCTCGGATCGGACGGTGATCGACCCTAGCCCACCTCCCCCCCCCCCGCGTTGGAAGGCGAGCAGTGTGACCGCTCCACCCCCGGCCGCCCTCTGCCGTGTAGCGAGGCCGATCGAAGGGGGTAGGGCGTGGGAGTGGGGGTGGGGTGGGGCACAGGCGTGTCCTCGCGCCCAGCGAGCGCTCAATGCCCGGCGCCCGCGTGCCCGTCCCGCCCTGCCCGGCCCAGCCCGGCCCGATCCGCTCGGTTCCAGGGCGTGGTTCCCACCTAGTGCTAAATAGCTGCTAAACGCCCACAAATTTCTCTCCCCCACGGCCTTTCACATTTTCTCAACCGCACGCACTTCTTTTCCTTTCTTTATTTCGCCCCCAACTCTTCACTCTCTCTCTCTCTCTCTCCCTCTCTCTCTCCCTCTCTCTCTCCCTCTCTCACTCTCTCTCCCCCTCTCTCTCACTCTCTCTCTCTCTCTCTCTCTCTCTCTGTATGGAATCGTCCATGCCTTTTATACAAACATGTTCCAAGCTTCTAATATTTATACTGTTTCCTTCGTATACACCACTTCTTATTTAACATTTCTACATCTCTTATTTATCTAATAACGCTGTTTCGGCATCAGTTGTTAAATGCAATTTTAATAAAATGTGAATTAAGATTCTGACTAATTTTCAATAAATACGATCCAAATAATTCAGCACAACGGAGCTAAAGAGCGCTGTCAATTTTAGCTAAAATGGGTACACAAATTATTGTAACACACTTGTTCTAATTTCATTGCATTTTTGCAGATACTGAGGATTGTTTGTAAAATACTATAATAAATTTAGAAGCAGGGATATTATTTAAATTGCGCTCGAGAAGAAGTATATAAAAAATTAAACAGACTGCCGTTTACCCCCGTTTGAGTAATTGATATTACCGGGAACGTCAACTT